TCATAGTATAGTGAGGCATAAAAAGTCATAAAAAACGTCATAGTATAGTAAGTCATAAAAAATCATAAAAATGTCATAGTATAGTAAGGCATAAAAAATCAGAAAAACGTCATATTATAGTAAGGCATAAAAGGTCATACTATAGTATGGCATAAAAACGTCATAGTATAGTGAGGCATAAAAAGTCTTAAAAACGTCATAGTATAGTAAGGCATAAAAAATTATAGTATAGTAAGGCATTAAAAGTCATAAAAGTGTCATAGTATAGTAAGGCATAAAAACGTCATAGTATAGTAAGGCATTAAAATGTCATAGTATAGTAAGGCATAAAAAGTCATAAAAATATCATAGTATAGTAAGGCATAAAAACTTCATAAAAACATCATAGTATAGTAAGGCTGAAAAGGCATAAAAATATCATATGATACTAAGGCGTAAAAAATCATGGTATAGTAAGGCATAAAAACGTCATAGTATAGTAAGGCATAAAAAGTCATAAAATACGTCATAGTATAGTAAGGCATGAAAAGTCATAGTATAGTAAGCCATGAAAAGTCACAAAAATATCATAGTATAGTAAGGCATAAAAGTCATAAAAACATCATAGTATAGTAAGACATAAAAAGTCATAAAAATGTCATAGTATAGTATGGCATAAAAACTTACAAAAAGGTAATAGCATAGTAAGGCATCAAAAGTCACGTAAATGCCATAGTATACTCAGGTCTAAAAGGGCATAAAAATGTCAAAGTATATTAAGGCATAAAAAGTCAAAGGATAGTAAGGCATGAAAACGTCACAGTATAGTAAGGCATAAAAACGTCATAGTACAGTAAGGCATAAAAAAGTCATAGTATAGTAAGGCATAAAAAGTCATAAAAACGTAATAATATAGTAAGGCTGAAAAGGCATAAAAACGTCACAGTATTGCAAGGCATAATAAATAATAAAAACATCATAGTATAGTATGGCATTAAAAGGCATAAAAAGTCATAATATAGGAAGGTATACAAAAGTCATAATATGTTAAGGCATAAAAACTTAATAGTATAGCAAAGCATAAAAACATCAGTAGCCACGCAGGTAGAGAGACAACATACAACCTCCACACAGAAAGGGCCCAGGCCTGAAGTTTGAACTCAGAACCTTCTCACTTTGGGATGACAGTTCTAATCACTGCATCACCATGCCGCCCCATAAAGACAGTATAGTGAGGCATAAAAACGTCATAATATAGTAAGGCTTAAAAAAAGCCACACTATAGTACGGCATAAAAAGTTGTAGTATATTAAGGCATAAAAATGTCATAGTGTAGTAAAGCATAAAGTCATAGGCTGCCTTACTATATTATGACTTTTAATGTTTACTATAGTAAGGCCTTACGATAGTCAGGCATAAAAACGTCACAGTAGAGAAAGGTATAAAGATGTCACAGTATAGTCAGGCATTACAGTTGCTAATTAACCTAATGAGCGTGGCTTTGGATTGCAGAAGGAAGCTGGAGTATCCAGAGAGAACCCATGCAGGCACAGAGAGAAAATGCCATCTCTTCACAGAAAGGCCCTAGGACCATGTTTCGAAATGAGAACCTTCTCAGTGTGAGGCAACAGTTCTAACCCCTACCACCGTGCCACCCCATCACAAAGTCATAGTACAGTAAGGCATAAAAAAGTCATAGTATAGTAAAGTATAAAAAATGCCATAGGATAGTATGGTATAAAAAGTTAATGCATTAGAGTCGCCAGTTAACCTAATGTGTATGTCTTTGGATTGGAGTAACTGGAAAGAAAGCACGCAGGCTCAGGGAGAACAGTCAAACTCCACACAGAAAGGCCAAAGGCCCGGGGGTTCGGACTTAGAACCTTGTCACTGTGGGACAATGGTTCTAACCACTGCATGACCATGCCCCCTCATAAAAAAGACATAGTATAGTATAATGAAAGTTTTCTTTTGTATAGCGAGGCATAAAAACATCATAGTATTGCAAAGCATAAAAAATCATAAAATAGTAAGGCAAAAAAAAAGTCATAGGATTCATGGTGACATTTTCGTTGGATTATTTGACAGAAATTCACCACACACTTTGATATATTCAGCATTTTATGTTTACTCCTGCTAGTGTGAATGAGTTCACTAAAATATTGGTAGGGACAATTCTGTCCTCCCAAAATATTGGTAGGGGCATGTCCCTACTGTCCTTATGCAAACCTACGCCCTTGGTGCCCAATGAATCCTTTATGAATGCAGTTGGAAAATAATTAGTTTGCATTATTTATTTGTTTATGTTATGAAAATAAAACATCTCTGTGTTTAGTGGAAAGAGTAAGAAGAGAAAGATTATGTGTGTTCAATTGCTAAAATGAGCCATTTAGACATGCTTTATGCACATTAGCATTTGCATTGGCATTCTCACTGGCACAGGCCAGCACTTCTTAGTGTCTCAAAAGACTGCGGTTTTTTAAACGAAAGCAGTTTTCCCTCTGTAAAGCCAACACTCATGTCCTCAAGATATTCCAAGAAATAATAAAAGCAGCTTCACTATCCTTCAGACTTTTTTTCACACTGAATGAAAAAACAAACACAGAATAAGCGCCTGCTGCTGTTGTGTTCACTGTGACCACATAGTTAAGTGCACAATACAAATAAATTAAGTTTTTTCCCCTCATACATAAGTGTTACCTTTCTCTAAGGATTTGACAACATTCAGCTGCTTTGAATTGCTGTGTTTAAATGAAAGAATGAATGAACTGAATTTAGGTCCTGGCTGGACTTTATTACAGTATTTATTTACAGATGATTAATGTATAAAGCACTGGCTTTAGAAGTGGGATCTGAAGACCACTGGGTCCCACAGGGGTCCAAACATTTCCAGGATCTGGGCAAACTCCATGATCTGATTAACAAAGTATGATGTGTTCAAAAGCTCCAGAACAGCTACTAAATGGAACTTGATAGAGATTGTTTTGCCAAGTAATTTTTCATTTTCAGATTTTAGGTTTTCCTCTATCTACTGTTGCCTCCCCAGTATTACTGTCAGATATGCATTTCTGCTTTAAATCCCTCATATAAAATATCTGAAATGATGAAAGAGGCTGTAACTGTGGGCAAGGAAATTAAAATAAAACAAAAACAAACAAGAGGACTTTGCTGTTGGGAGTTTTCTATGGAATTAACTGCAAATTTATTAATTCATTTACATGACATGACAAAAGATCATAAATAAGACCTTAATCCCACCTTGATTAAACCTTTAAATCCAGCCAGTCATCTCATTAACCTTACCTGTTCATGTTTTGTGAGGCGTGTTTTATTGTGGATGTCAGAGGAGACCAAGTTGAACTGGTGTTTCTCAGCCAGTAACCTCAGTAAGATGACCACTGTCCGGCTGCCACACTTCCCCACGCGGTTATAAACCACCTGGCTGGGGAACGGGAGCACCTATAAACACACACACGAAAACAAACATAAAGATGAACAGAAAAATAAAGAACTACTTTTATTATTGGCTTCGGTTCTTTGCAAGTTGCAGTTTACAATCATGTCTGTCCAGACTCTGGAATTTAATAAAAGGCGTTAATTTTTTGATTAAATTTAGTGAACTAAATTACATTGACAACTAAACATTCTAAATTAAACTGAATTTACATAATAAATGAATTAAACCTTTTATTATATCAAGTGAAATTAATTAAATTGTATTAAATCAATCAAATGTGAGACAGGAAATGTTGGGAAAGAAAGTAGGGGAATGACATGCTAAAAAATGGTGTGGTCAGTCAGGAGTCGAATCGGCGACCTGCTGCTCAGGGTATTCAGGCCCATGTGGTAGATTAGCTAGATTACATCTAATTGATTATATTGCATTACATTAATGTAAATATATATTATATTCACTAAATAAAAAAATTGTTAAATTAATTACATCAAATTAGATTTAATTAAATAAATTTAATATATATACTAAATTTACTCAATTTACACCCATGCCTGCCCAGATTTATATAATATATGTAGTGAAGATTTTGAAGGAATTTAATAAAAGGTATTAAGTGTCTTTTATCATAATTAGCATCTGAATTCTTGAGTTAGGGCCAAAAACTGTGCTTTGTGAGGTCACAGTGACCTTGACCTTGATCTAATCAGTTTATCCTTGAGGTTAAGTGAGCTATCATGCCAAATTTTTTAAGACATTCCCTCAAGGCAATCCTGGGCTATCACGTTCACAAGAATGCAAGAATGGGACCGACATGAGGTCACAGTGGAGAATGGGATGGCTGAAAATACAACCCAGAAACATAATGCCTCCGGCGGGTTTTTTAACTCTGTATTACTATCACTGATATTAAAGAACATATTATATTATATAACATTATATTACATTATTATATACGTATTCACAAGTATAATTGGATGTCTTTATATAAATGTTACTGATCTGTGTTATAGCACATTTTTAGGCAGCAGTACTACTTTGAACACCAAATTTGGCAGTAAAGGAAAAAAGACAACGTGTGAAAAGTGAAACAAAGATGAGAAAACAAGGACAAAAACTGAAGAAATTCATAAAATGTCACTGCCACTTTTTCTCCAACCTTTGACCTTTCTCACATCTACTCTCCCTGGAGCTAGACTCAGTTGTCACTGCAACATATTCCCTTCCTGCTATGAAACACACACAAAGACTGAGCACAGACATGCACACTTTCATGTTCTCTGCTCATATGCTTATTCTTCCGATCCGAACTCTGAGTCAGAGACTCTGCTGACCTCTCTGCAAAGTGATAATGACGCAACTGTTTTGTGTCTTGTCACACACACACACACACACACACACACACACACACACACACAAACACACACCACAGTAAAAACACACCCCTCATGAGTCATCAATTCAACAAGTAGCTCATGATTCAGACCCTCACATGAAGTGGATGTGAGTGAGTAAAAACATATTTGTTACCGTAAATCTCTGCTTGTAGGAAGGAAGAAGTTGGGGCTGACATGAATATTCAACATAAGACTCAAGAATGCATTAATTTGGCAATTACCCCTAAGGGCCCATGAGGTTTACACAAGTGGCCCCTTAAGAATGAAGGCTATCCAAGCGAATTTAGCAGCGAGAACAAGAGTAACAAGGGAAGTAAGTAAACAAGGGGCAGTTAAAGGAATTAAAGGAAGAATGGGAGAGAGGAAGACACGTTACCTAAAAGACATCTGGAAGATTTCTCTAGAAAATGATAGAGATCTAACTCAAAAAACAAAGACAGATCACTTCTGTTGTTGCCTTGAAAACTTTTCCCCTCCACTCTTCAAGTGAAGACTTCCTGTAAATCAGATGGGGGAAAATGCGGCAGTGATAAATTCTTGTCGGCATTCCCAGTCTGGAATGGTGATTGTACTTTTCCCAGGGGGTTTCTGGATATCTGAGAGACAGCGTGTTTGGAAGCAAGTCTGACTGACTGACTGAATCAACTAGTTCACTGGCTCATGGGGTGGCTAGTTTATGTACAATTTGGATAGTTTTATAGGTAACTGAATGACTGACTGGCTCGTTGACTTTTACAGGACAAATCTCCGCCCTCACCTGCTAGTTTCTCTCTCTGCTGTGATGAAATTATTACTCATCTTCAGTTAATCTCAGTGATCTTTTTTTTTGTAGTTTCAACACCACAGTTTAACATAGCCACACACACACACACACACACACACACACACACACACACACACACACACACACACACACACACTGGCTGATTTTGGCCTGTCCCACCCAAGATCAGGCTCAGCAAAAACAGAGAGGGCCTCCTCTGAATGTTTGCCAGAATCCAGTGGAAAGACAGAGAAAGTAGCAACAGGATGGAGAGCGGGAGAGAGAGAGAGAGTGAGGAGGAGGAACTACTTGGAGGACAAACTGCAGGGAAGAAGGATATCAATCTGCTGACAGATTGATCACTGTCATACATTTCCCCTCAATCCCACTTCCTGTTTGTTTTTTCCCAGAATCACAGTGTTTTACTTGATGTCATTAGACATTGAACTGGCTTGACACAATGTGAAAACAACATGCACAGGTACATTTGCCCCAGGAGGAAGGAGGGTGTACGGGAAAACAATTCACAGGTGAAATCTGTGCTCATACAAGATTGTACAAGTTTTGTTGACAGGCGTGCTACAGCTTGTGTCATTTGCTGGAACATCATCATCACTTTTTTTTTTTTTTTTTCATTTATTGTTTCATATTCTAATTGATCAAAGTAATCTTATAGAATAAAAATTGGTGGTGTCCAAAAACAAACACAAAATAATGGTCAGTGGTTGCAATTTCACTCAGTTTTGGGAAAAGATCTCAAGCTGATAGGAGATGGTTCTCTTGGACAGCAGTCCAACATTCCTCAGTGTTTGCCAAGTAACTACAGACTTCTAAGCTTATCACAATAATGAGGCAGATGAAATACATGCAGTGTTTTTTCGGGACAGCAACCCCCCATTGATATGATGACAAATGACTGTGTCAGACCTCTAACAGCCTGGTGTTGTATAATACAAGAAAAACATCAGAGATGCCGTCAAGAGTCCAAATCTCCCGTCGGCATTGACAGCACTGAAAGGGCAACCTTTTCAGTATGTGCTATTGTCGTTCCCACTCTGTAGAGCTTAGGTTTCTGATGCTCGCTGTGAGAAAGGTTTGCAGTGTCTGCCAGTGAGGGATTCTGTCAATAGTCGGTCCCCAGTCAAATTATTATGTAACAACGCTTCCCTCTGTGTCTGATCTGGGTGTTCCTACTCCCAAGAGTCTGGCTGTTGTTGTGGTATTTACAGGTCTGACGCTTTCGAGCCAATATCAAGCAGACTTTGAGATGATGAGTAGCCCTGCACCTTTCCTCTCTCTCACGCTCTCTCTCCTACTTTCGCTCCTCTCGCATTCTTTTCGAGTAGCCTGCCCACACACACTCGCACTAAAACCTCCAAAGGCTTCTCACTGTTTCTAGACATTTTCAGATGTGACATGAGTTCAACAAACATGCACGAATTATCGTCTGTGTCTCGTGGCCTGACCACCCGTCTCTGCAGAGAATTAACTGAACTCTAACGCTAACTGCCACCTTCAATCATCTAATAGCAAGTTTTGAGAACATGTCCAGGGTTTGCCACATATCAGGACCACTTCACCGCACCGCACCGCACACACACTCATTGGTCTTCCTGCTGCAGTTCCTTGAAACCCAGTACGCCACCACTAACCTGCACACTGCTTTGGCAAATAACGCTCTGCTGGTTTCAGCTAAGCCCTGGTCTGGGTTCATTGCTCTCCACTGTCAACTGCTCATCCCACGCTGAGTGGAGATCTGCAAGTCAAGGTCTCAGTCAGGGCACAGTGGAGACTCTCAGCATTTCCTGTTATTAATTATGTATCCATCCATCTCCACTCCGACCCGGAGAAGGATCTAAGTAGTGGTGTCCAAGTATTTCTTTGTCATTAAGATGAATTGATTTTCTTTGGCTGAGAGGAAATGGGAAACTCAAGTTTCTCAGTGCTACCACTAATGTTTTGCACTTGTAAAAATGCAGAAACGTAATATGTGTGTGACAAATGGAGATCGAAACGCTTTTGCTTTTATGGACATTAGCTTGTGCATTAGAGTGTGTCAGAGTGGAAATGTCTTTGGTTTTGTCTTCGGATTTCATTAAATATGGAAAATATTAGCTCACAACAGCAGCTGGACTTATCTAACACCACTAATTTCATTATAGACTCCCCAAAAACATTTCAGCTTCTTCTAAAAAAAACACATCTCTTGCCATTGCCATAGGAATTTTAGTGTTTTAACAAGACTATACAGTGGCTATAAAGGATTTAGTGCAATTAGGGAATTTGGAAAAACATGTTGGAAAATGTGCTCTATAAAATGATATTTACAGATTTTACACATGTGTAAAAATGCAGACATTCTTGTCATGCTTCCATACAGATAAAGACTCTCTATTCTGAGAGCTGTGTGGTTTTTCCATGCGCTCTCATTTACGTCAAGCTTTCAACTCGATTTCTAATCTTTCCCTACATTTACCAGAATCCCCAGCCTTGTGCGCGCACATGCTGTAATGCGAGCAACCTCTGCTGAAATTGTGGATCTATCTCATTGCAGTGGGATGTCAACAAAGAGATAATGAGAGATGTGGCTGATGCAGTGCTTGCCGCCGACATGGCATCAGCATCATCCGTCTGGTAGACGAAATGATGACAGATATGGAATCAATCAGAGTTAGCAGCTAATGTATAATCACTGTCAGTCTGGTCTGTGCAAATGGGGGCTGTATGTAGTTAGTAAAGCCTGTGAAGCTACTGTGGTTGCAAAAGACAGCTGCAGTCAAATTTCATGTCGCAGAGCCAGAGTGAAAGGCAGGAGAGACAGAATAGTTTATTGATTTCAAACGTAGGGAACGTGATGGGGTTTCAGAAATAAGTGCGAAGTTCATGTCAAATTATCTCTTTGGGGACGGTGAAATCAGGCGTCTTCAACCAAAAAATAAAGCCACAACAACAAAATCTGAAACTGACTGAATACTGTTTTCCGCCTTTAAATACATTTTTATAAATCTGCCAAAATAACACATTATAACACAATTTGTTATCATGCTTTTCACAATAATACTTTTATTCAATATATATATATACAGTATAAATATTAAATTGTGTGTAAATTGCTGTATCATTTATTCATTATCTCATCTTAAAATCAGTGGTTGGTAATTTTGTATTTGCATCTTTGCTGAAAAAGAGCTCTGTGTCCTTGATTGCCCAATCTTTAATTGACGTTGACTTCTAGTTTCTTAATAATAATGTACATTCATTTTACCTAAAAAGCATGCAGTTGTTTGTTCAACCTGGAATACTCTGAATGGGGCTTACAGTCAGGCAGCCAGTATTGTATATGGCCTAAAGCTTATTGTTGTGAGCCCTTGGAAAAGGCCATCCATGTATATATATATATAAACATTTTTATCATCTCAGATTTAGTACATAGAGTACATCTCTTTGGTAATGGCTGCTTTTGACATATACTACTGTTCTTTAATTACTAAATAACATTTCAGAAGCTAAAGAAATAACCTGTAGGCGACTTCATTTTTATCGCTCCCCTCAGCTTCTTGGAGACTTTTCCCCTCCATTAAAATCCCACTTTTCTGTGTCAAAATGAATTCCAGAGCTTCTGTGTTTGCATTATAATGTAAATATTCGGAATCAATTGCCTCAGGACACAGTCAAGCTGCTACACTCTTAACTTTATCCTCAACGGGGAATGGAAACCAATTTAGGTTTATTAGCCCTAATTTCCATTAAATTTTAGAAAGCACTATAATATTAAAAGCTTGGCTTCCCACCTACAGAATACAATTTAGAGACTGAATAGCATACAGCAAACTGGCATTGTGATTCCGCAGTGAGTGAATAATAAAGGTTTGTTTCAGATAACGATTTCCCTTAAAAGATAAAAGCAGCAACAAATTCCAACAATGTCTCCACAGTTTGCTTCATATAAATAACCCTTCACTGTTATCTCTATGAAACAAGCTCTGTGGCTGCCTAGTTTGGCTTAGTGGCCAGAACAGGCTTTTCAAAGTAAACACATAACTCACAAACAAAGCCCACATGTGACCTTACTGAATCCAAACAGCTGCTCATGTCAGCCACAAACAAACCTGTAACCCAACTAGATTAAGTCTCAGGTCAGCTATGCACTAAATGCTGTGGGTAAAGTTGAAAAAAATGATAACTCTGTCCATCAAGATAGAAAAAGAGTAAAAAAATGATGATGAGGTGGATTAAATAGGTATGAGGAATGAGGTGAAAATGAGGCGGTGACGGATTAAAGAACTAGATAATAAACAAGGGGCAGACGGAGGAAGAAAGCAGTTGGCAGGGCGAGAAAGAGGGAGCACAGAGGAGAGATAGTCATGCAGACATGGCAGCTGGATGAATACAAGGCCCCTGTGTCAGCACTGTGTGTGTGTGTGTGTGTGTGTGTGTGTGTGTGTGTGTGTGTGTGTGTGTGTGTGTGTGTGTGTGAGAGAGAGAGACTGTGTTCAGAGCGTTACTGTAGCACTGAAGCCAGACCTAGCTGGTATTTAGATGCAGCTCCTTCACACAGACCTAACCCTTATCCTGACTGGACTGAACTGGCTTGGAAACACAGGGCAGCACATCAGAGACACAGAGGTCAGGACAAAAAATTGGATAAAAAAATAAATAAATAAAAAAAATAAAGGTAATACAAGGAGAAATGGTAAATGACACTGAGAGATAGAGGGGAACTTACTCTTGGAGCAGGGGGTCCGTGGTCATCCAGATATGTGGATTCACCTGCAAAGGAGTACATGCATCAGGATTATGAAATACAACTACTTCAAATGAAAAGGACTGGAATACTCACTCATAACATTCGTGAATGGGGTTCAAAACCAACTTGTTTATATTAGCATAAAGTAGCTGTGTGTTCACCTGAGCAACACAGTGATGTAACAGCAATTCCCAGAAATGAGGATATGAAGCAAACGTGTCCCTTTGCTCTTCTCAGTCAACCAATTTAATAACAATAATAATATTAATACCTAGAAATGTACCAACTGATCACTTGCCTGTAATTATTTAAAATTATATATGGTTCTTTCCAGGAAATTTCTTAGCAGATTATATGGAATAAATAAATAAATTTGACTTTACAGCCCATTAAGATAAAATACCCTATAATTGTTTATCATGTATGTACTTTACATGTTTTCCTGTCTGAATTAATCTTACTATCCTGAATTTTGGCCAGCCCTATTAATTTATTGTCGCCACAAGAATCAGATTCATTCAATTTAAGTTCCACTCCACCCCCGTGCCATGCTTCTACCCCCTCCAGGGGCCTATCTCAACCTACAGTTTGAGAAACCGCATGGCGCAGCAGGTGGCACTTCACTTCAAAACCCAGACCTCAGCACAACAACTGCCCCCCTCACCCTCCATCCTCCGCCACAGTCACCCAAAGAAAACAGCATAGCTCTTGTCCATTAAGCGTGAAGATGTCATGAAGAGAGCTGCAGCCTATTTATACAATATATACAGAGCACTGTGAAGCTGTTTTATGTGGAAATAATGGAGGTCATTCAAGACTCTTTGAGCGCCTTGCAGACCATTCTCCAAGTCCAGCTGCCAGACGCACAGAGACGCATCACTTCCCATCACGTTTACAACATTCAGGTGGTTGGCGCAGGAGAAAAAGAGAAAGGCAAACTGGAGAGTGTGGGGGGAATGCTGCTAAAAAGAGAGGAAATATTACATAAGAGAACAGTCTCTCTTTGTGTCTCTGAAATGTGATCCAACACACTGATGAGAATAGCAAGATATGATGCGTGGACGCACACAGTGGTTTATAACCAGCCAAAGTTGTATCTGTTATTATATGCTTGTGCTGGAAGTGTTGTTTGACTTTGTAAGTACTGTTTATACTTTAGATAATGGTGTGTAAGCTCTGACTAATTAGTCTTATACTGAGATCCAATCTGCCAAGGTTTGGCTCTGTGATCTCTCACATACACACACACACACACACACACACATACACACATACACACATAATACAGTTACTGTATAGAACCTGTTTGGCTTCCTGTGCATGTTGTGGCTCATTAATTCATCAGGTACTGGATGTATAAACACTGACACAGCAGCTCTCTGCCCAGCCTCAGGAGTCTTTTTTTAGACTTTCTCTATGTTAGCATCTGTCTTTTTCCCTCTTTCATGACTTTACACTGTTTTGCTGAGGAATGTTGAGGGAAGCACGTGTTCGCTGCTCTTCTCCGAGGCATTTGAGGTCATGGCACGGCGAGGATGCAAGGAGGCAGACATGTCTGTTTCTTCCTCTGTCATCCATCATGGACAAACAACACCACCCCCGACCCCCACCCCGCTGACCCCCACCCCCCGTCCCGTGTGTGCTTCTCATTAGCGTTTTGGATAGAGGATTGGAACTCATTTTTTCCAAGGCACGAGGCTCGTAAAAGCTGACAGCTGCCCTCCACCCCCACCACCCACAGTGAGAGGAAAATGAACTTAAACAGCCACTGTACAGCGTACTGTACTCATCGACCCCATTGTCCTCTGATTCTCTGTTAGCAGTCAGTGAGGATGAGGACTTCTTTGGCTCGATCTAGAAATATCTGAATTCCAAAACAACACTACACAGGCCACAGGACACATGCTGCATTCATACTGTACTTTGTGGTTGCAACTATGACTTCACTCACTCAGTCATAGAAGTTCACCTTCCGTACCAGCACTATCTTTAAGCCATTAACCACTTCTTTACACTGAGCTATGTACACACAGATGAGTCACACACTACAGGAAAAAGCTTGAATAAAAGTGAGGATAATCACTAATTACTATTACTTAATTTATAGAAGTGCCAAGGAAATACCAAGGAGAATTGATGCTTTTCTGGCTCAACACCTTACTTTGCTAATTAATGTTGATTTTTTATTGTTTTGTCGCCCATCTGTATGTACCCCTGGAAATACACAGGTCATGAATGGTCAAGTGGAGAAATCTTTAGGAAGGAGAGGGCAAAGGTCTCACTTGAAAAGTTAAGGAAGAATTCACAAATTAAATCAAGGTCAGTGCCTTTGAACACATCCTCAAGTTTTGTGTGTGTGTGTGTGTGTGTGTGTGTGTGTGTGTGTGTGTGTGTGTGTGTGTGTGTGTGTGTGTGTGTTTGTGTGTCAGTGAGTGATTGAAGGAGAAACTAACTGGAGTGTGGGTATGCATAGGCATGTAGCTAAATGGTTAATTGGATTACTGTGTCACAAGATCCATGAACTCGCCTCTGGCTAAGAGCAGCTGCATAACCATTCCTTAGTACAATTATCTAATCAATACTGCAACATGGACAGCAACATTAATCAGTGGTGCTTTTAAGTTTTAATCAGTGAATTCTAAAACAGTCAATATATTAACCAAAGACACAACAAAATAACCAGAATTGTTTGTAAGCAGATTTCACTTCCTTGCAACAGATATTTCTTCACTAAATTAAGAAGAATCATAAAAGCTTATGATCTGCACAACAAAAGGTCTCCACAAATCAACACTGTTTATGATTTTCTGAGCAACACATGCAAGTAATACAAGTTGAAAGCTAATACCGTACATCCTCAAGTTGAGACATTAAGCAATGTGATTTAAAAGGCACGACACAATGTGAAACTGTGTGAAGCTGATTATTACCATAGATGTAATTTATGTGTCATAATTCAAAATTCCAACAGGAACTAATTAGTGGAAATCTGGTGAGGAAACCTGCAGCGCAAACTCACAGTTTTTTCCCACAAGTTTTAGGACGACAAACTCTAAAAGTCATATTTGGACACTAACTATGAAACCTGTATTTACGTAAGTGGAAGCATTCAATTAAACTTTTATAGCTGGACCCAACGCACACAAAAAACACAAGGCAGGCTGCTGCTCCTGTCCAGGAACTTGTTAAAGCAAATTATCACCTACATCAATTAGTCACCTCATTAGCTGAGTTGAGCTTGACTTTTTTTTTCTTCTGTGAAAAATTTACTACCTGTACAGCTACGTCAGTCTCAGACGTTGTTCTGGAACCAGAAAAGAAAAAAGCCAACAAAAATGTAACGTTGATAAAGGGTACAAATATGTGTTTTTGAGAAGAAAACTAAATATACTGTAAGTAATTTATGCTATCAAAATCATAAAAAAAAAAACCATGTGAATATTTCCTCAAAAATGCAGCGATATCTACGTTTGCACGGGACTAACCCACCAAGGTTTGAACAAACCAGCCCAGAATAAATTCCTCCTTCTGGAATTCTCGCCTTGGTGTTGGCCTGCTTCAGGAATGCTACAGTAAGTTCGGGAATTTCATAAACATGTATTTAGCGCATAGACCATTTCATTTGCTTTGTGAAATTGGCGACCTAGCTAAGTAAAGCTTAGGGAAGAACACACCCCAGAATAGGCCGAGGTTGGAGCGGAAAACCACACAGGAATGGGCAGTTGAGGGAAAGGCCAAGAGGATAGGAGCAGGTTTGACGTTAAGGGGCCTTCACTTTGCTGTGGGACGGGACTCAAGGCAAGGATGGAAGGTTACAGAGCTGCTGCTGCCCTGGAATGTTCTACAAGTATGTGAACGCAGATTACAGGTTCCTCAGCCTGTGAAGACTAAACTTTCTCATCCTTAACAACATCCTGCTGTAGTTTCTGTATATACCACGCACAAAAATGAGAGTATAGAAGGTGCGTGCTTGCTTCATGTCCCTACTGACAGTTTTATGGGAATATGGCGCGTAGTTTTTGAGTTTATACAGGAACAGAGTAGAGAAAGGAAAAAGTGTGGAAGAGTTTGGATAGATGGGCACATAGGTATCTCATGACAGTCTGCACTGCAGTTGAAAATTATATAACTCCAGCCTGACCCAGCTGTGTAAAACACACCCAGTTAAAGTTAGATACACGTCTATGGTTACAGTCTTGACTAAACATTCGAGCCATAATAGAGAGCATATGCAAACAGAGTCAGTGTGTATGGGTTATATACATACTTTTCTGTGTGTGTTTGTCTATGAAATGCGTATCTGTGTGTGTGTGTGTGGTCACCCAACCCTTTGATTTGGAGTGTGGGAGTGGCCCTCCATTAAGACCCATAGCTCGACCCAGCTACCTAATTACAGAGGGGAGTTAAGCTAAGGGTCAGGGTCTCCACCCACTACGCCCTGCTCCACATCACCCCTCAGTCACTTGAGAATCAACAATGGTCAGACAACTTTGTGATATAAATATAACAGCTGTGCCTCTGCTATGTTATTGCAGGTGCCCAAAGCCCAAAACATGGTAGGGAGACTAATTTGTGGACGTATTGCTCCCCTAAAATTTTGGTTACTGAAATGCAGCAGGGGGACTGTGAGAGCATACACACATGCATACAGATGTACTAGGGGCTGGGAGACTTCAGGGTGATTGTCAGCATGTCATTTGTGGACACCAGCGGTTGCCACCGTGTACACTGTAGGACAGGGACGTACCACTAAACTGATGACCAAGCAAAGCAGTGTTGACTCTAGTGGCTGCACAGCTATATGCCCAGAAAGTTAAAAATAAAAGACATACTTTGCGGAAAAAAAGTAGCTTAATCATTTCCATTACTTCTGTGAAGAACAGAGGAAACAGGAGTGACTCATCTAATTCATTACGAAATCATCCATGTGAAAGTCAAAGCCCTCAAAATATTCAAGGAGTAAAGTAGTGCTGCAGTTGACAAAGACACAATATGACCACCCATAGCATCCATGATAGGCATT